ACAGGCCGCCCAGCGTGAGGCCGCCAGCCAGGCGCACCGAGCCCGCCGCGCCCGCCGCGCCCGCCCGCTCCAGCATCAGCACCAGGATAGGTGGCAGCAGCGCCAGCAGTGGCGGCTCCAAAATGCTCCGGGGCCGGGCCATCGACTCCCCGGGCTGCGGAAGGAGACCAGGCAGAGAGAACGGAATCGGGGGACGCTCTGAGTGCCTGCCCGGCCGGGGAGAACCGGGGAAACCGGAGCCCCGGGGGTTAGGGACAGGGACCGCGCCATAAATGTTGGCTGAGCCAGTCCGAGAAGAGGTGGGATGTCAACTCGGCACAGCCCCCGGCCTCCCCGTCGCTCTCAACACCCTCTGAACCTTATCACACGGGTCCCCTGCCCGACCACTGTCTCCAGCACGCGAGCCCGCCCCTTCCCGACAGTCCGGGCTGCTCTTCGTGGGCCCATCCCCAGCGCGCACCCAGGGGCGCCTCTGGAGCCACACTCACCCGTGCCCGCCGCTGCCGGGTCTGGGCGCAGCTGTGACAGCTGCCGAGGCCCGAGAGAGGGGATTTAAGGATTGTGGGGAAGGGATGAGAGGCCTCCCTGAGGGCGGAGACCCCTCCTGAGCAGGGGTGTGCGAAGAACTGGGTCTCTCCGCATCTCCTTTCCCTCCCTCTCCTGCGCCCTGGGCTTGTTTCTTTCCTGTCTGGATGTGTGTCTGTCCTGATTCTCTGACCATCTCTCGGGCTGTCTCTGACACACACACACTATTCTGTCCTCCTCTGTCTCTTGGTTTCCTTGTTTTTCTATTTCTGTCTCTCTCTCTACTCTCTTCTCTTTCTGTCTCTCGGTGTCAATTTTTTTTTCTCTCTTTCTTTGTCTCTCTCTGTCTCTTATCCTTTTTTTTTTGGTCTCCCTCTCCCTTTCTTTCCTGGCCACAGTCTCTTTACTCCAGCTGCCTAAGGTACTCCCAACTTTCTCCTTGCAAAATCCTGCGGTAAATCCATGAGCAGAAGGAAAAAGGAGCACAGGCTGAGTGAGCTGAGTGGGCCTGCACAGAGAGAACAGGGCTGGGCAGGAAGGAACCACGAGCAAGCCCACCTTTAATATTAGCAAGGACTGCTTAACACGCCCACAACAACCTTGCAAAGGAGAGACCTTTACCATCAGCCCCATTTTGCAGATGGGCAAATAGAGACCTGAAAAAATTAAGTGGCCCACCCAAGGTCACATGGTTGGCATGTGTCAGCAGTAGGATTTGCACCCAGATTGGTGTGAAATCACCAGCCTGCAAACCTCTGATGGAAGGAGGAGACAGGCCAGCTTGCCCTGCAGCTCAGACCCCACTTTTGCAGCTAATGAGGGAGCCCTAAGGAGTTGTTCTTCTGTCATTTTTAAAGCCTTCCTGGGCTCTGGGAGCAGTGACTCACACCATGTGAGGCTCTGCACCTGAGTTTCCCCATCTCATCATTGAGGGCCGAAGGTGAGGGGGCTTGGTCAAAAGATACTTTTAGCATCATCCCTGCCTGAGGCCTCCGATTTGGCTCTCTGCGGCCAAGAGAGCAAAGGGCATCCTGGAGACAGATGGTGAGCTCTCAGCCCCAGAGATTAGCAGGCTTGTCCTGCAGGGCCTGAGCTGGCTTGCGCTCCATTAGACAGGGTGGATTAGGGCGTCCACAGGGATTTGGTCAAAGCTGGCAGTGGGAGCACGCAAAAGCCATGTCACCCTTTTCTCTTTCCCCAACACTTACGGCATTTGTTTTCAGAGCTGTCCAGGCACCTCTCCCTGTCAGAGGCCTGGGTCAAGTGTGACTCTATCCATTTTACAAGTTGGGAAGGATGGGGTGTTTAACTGTACAAATCTGGCATTTGATGTGGATGGGCCAGCAGCTGGGCTCACACAGCCCTTTATAGCTCTTCCCCACTCAGACTGGTCAGACAGGGCCACAGCTGATATCACAAAGCGGGTTCCCAACTCACAGGATCAGAGCATCCTTGTGGCTCCTGAGTGAAGATGGACCATCAGCGAGCAGGGGCAGAAGTCTTCACAATGGTGCAAGAAGGGGGTTGAGAGGGTCTGACCAGCGTGCTGGACAGGTACAAACAAACAAAAATGAAACTAGACTCTTTTCTTACACAAGAATAAATGCAAAATGGATTAAGACGTAAAATGTAAAACCTGAAATGATAAAGTTCCTGGGGGAAAAAAAGAAAGTTAACTCTTTGACATTGCTCTTAGTAATATTTTTTTGGACATGTCTCCTTGGGCAAGGGAAACAAAATAAAAAAAAAAATGGTACTACACCAAACCAAAAAGGCTTTGCACAGCAAAGAAAACTATCAAAAAATGAAAAAACAATCTACCCAATGGGAGAATATATCCACCAATGATACATCAGATAAAGGATAAATATTCAAAAAATATAAGAAACTCATACAACTTCACACCAAAAAGACAAACAATCCAATTTAAAATGGGCAGAGGACCTGAATAGATGTTTCTCCAAAGAGGACTACAGATGGCCAATAGACATATGAAAAGATGCTCAATGTCACTAATCATCAGAGAGATGCAAATTAAAACCATGATGAGATATCACCTCACGCCTGTCAGAAGCTATCAATAAATCAACAAACAACAAGTGCTGGTGAGGATGTGGAGAAAAGGAAACTCTCATGCACTGTTGGTGGGACTGCAAACTGGTGCAGCCACTGTGGAAAACAGTATGGAGTTTCCTCAAAATATTATAAATAGAACTACCTTATGACCCAGCAATCCCACTTCTGGGTATTTATTCAAAGAAACCCAAAACACTAATTCAAAAAGATATATATGTATCCTTATGTTCATTGCAGCATTATTTACAAGATATGGGAGCAACTTAAGTGTCCATTGATAGATAAGTGGATAGAAAAACTGTGGTACATATGCAATGGAATATAACTTGGCCAAAAAAAAAAATGAAATCTTACCACTTGTGACAACATGGAAGGACCTAGAGGATACTATGCTAAGTAAAATAAGTCAGACAGAGAAAGACAAATGCCATATGANAAAAATGAAATCTTACCACTTGTGACAACATGGAAGGACCTAGAGGATACGATGCTAAGTAAAATAAGTCAGACAGAGAAAGACAAATGCCATATGATTTCACTTATATGTGGAATCTATAAAACAAAATAAATGAATAAAGAAAACAGAAACAAACTCATATATCAAGTACATTTTGATGGTGGCCAGGTGGGAGGGGGTTTGGGGGCTGGGTGAAGGAATTAAAAAGTACAAATTCCCAGTTACAAAATAGTCATGGGAATGTGAAGCACAGCCCAGGGAATACAATCAATAATATTGTAATAACTATGTATGGTGTTATGTGGATGGATCACTTCATAAGTTATATAAATATCTAACACTACGCTGTACTCCTGAAACTAATATAATATTGAATATCAACTGTAATTTTTAAAAATTAAAATTAAATTACAAAATGAAAAGCAATATGAAAGATAAAGAAAAAGACTACTTGGGAGCTCACACAGATACATNGAATATTTAATGGCAACTATAATTTAAAAATAAAAATACAAAAACAAACAAAAATATATTTTAAAAAAAGACAAATCTTCAATTAATAACTTACTTTGCACCCTAAGGAATTAGAAAACAAGTAGCAAACTAAACCCAAAGCTAGAAGGAAGAAAAATAAAGATTAAAACAGATTATTGAAATGGTGAATAGAGAAACAATGGTGAAGATAATAAAACCACTGTTGGTTCTTTGAAATGATTAAAAAATTATTTTTTTAGTTTTTATTTAGACTAAAAAAAAAAAGAGAGAAGATGCAAATAATTAAGATCAAATAAAAATGGGGACATTACTCCTAATTTTACAGAAATAAAAAGGGTTATAAGAGAATACTATGAACAATGGCATGGTATAGATAAACTAGATGAAATAAACACATTCTTGGAAACCAAACTACCAAAACTTACTCAAGAAGAAACAGAAAACCTGAACAGATATATACTATTATCAGTAATAAAAAATTTCCCAGCAAAAAAAATCCAAGGTCAGATGGCTTCTCTGGGTGAATTCTATCACACAGGTGACAGCCTTTCTCAAAGTCTTTTTAAAAAATAGAAGAGGAAGGAACACTTTCTAAACAATTTGATTTGGCCAGCATTAACCTGGTACCAAGCCAGACAGACATTACAAGAACACTATAGACCAATATCCCTTATGACTATACATCCAAAACACTTAAAATACTAGCAAATTGAATCTGGCAGTGTATAGAAGGGATTATACACCATGAGCAATGGACTTATCCTAGAAATGCAATGTGCTTCACCATAAGAAAATCAATGAATGTAATACAGTACATTAATAAAATGAAGGGAAAACTATATGATCATCTCAATTGATGTAGGAAAAGCATTTGACAAAATTGAACACGCTTTTATGATTAAAAAAAAAAACAACCACTCAGAAAAATAGGAATAGAAAGGAACTTCCTGAACATGGTAAAGGGAATTTATGAAAAATTCACCTATCATCATATTCAATGGTGAAAAGTGAAAAATTTCCCCATAAAATCAGGAATAATAAATGTATGCCTGCTTTTACCACTGCTGTTGAAAATTGTACTGGAAGTTCCAGCCAGAGCAATTAGGCAACAAAGAGAAATAGATGTGCAAATTGGAAAGGAAAAAGTAATACTATCTTTGTTCAGATGACATCCTATATACTAAATCTTAAAGAATGTACAAAAAACATAGTGGAGCTAACAGATGAATTTATCAAATTTTCAAGATATAAGATCAATACACAAAAAACCAGTTGTTTCTTTCTATACACTAACAATGAGCCATCTCAAAAAAAGAATTAAAAAATAATTCCAAGTAGCCCTGGCCAGGTAGCTCAGTTGGTGAGAGCATCGTCTGGATATGCTCTAAAGTTGAGGGTTTGATCCCTGGTCAGGGCGCATACAGGAAGCAACCAATGAATGCAGAAATAAGTGGAACAACAAATCGATGTTACTCTCTCTCTCCCCCTCTCTCTTTCTCCTCTCTCTAAAAATCAATAAATTAAAAAAAATCCTTTTACAATGGTATCCAGAAGAATAAAATACCTAAAATAAATTTAGCCAAGGAAGT